AAACCCATGCAGCAATAGGAGCAGCATATGGAACCGCCAAATCCGGCATTGGCATTGCCGGTGTTGGAACCTTTCGGTCAGATCTGATTATGAAGGCAGGTCTTGAAATAAATACACACACATCAAGATTTGGGTCGGGCATTCTACGTTCGTTTTTAATACTGACAAACGAGGGGCAGTCATTAATCCCCGTGGTAATGGCGGGTATCATTGCGGTCTACGGCTTAGTTGTTGCAGTGCTCATTGCGGGAGGTTTGGGTCCTCCGCCCCAGAAGACATATAGCTTATACACGTACGTCATATATCCTTACAATAATATATATATGTGTATGCACTTCATACTAACCTATTGACCTCAATAGCGGTTTCATGCACCTTGCAGCGGGATTATCAGTCGGCTTATCAGGACTTGCGGCTGGCTACACGATTGGCGTTGTCGGCGACGTGGTTAGTTATGAGAATCCCGTGGCAATCGTCATTCTCTTCAAGAGTATGGTTGATTAACTAATTACATTTTCCCGTCTCTCAGGGTGTGCGATCATACATGCAGCAGTCACGCGTTTTCGTAGGAATGGTATTAATATTGATTTTTGGTGAAGTGTTGGGGCTATACGGGTATGAATAGCTTGCTCCATACGTAATCCCTTCTTTCCGTTGGAGCATGCATGATAATTAACTATTTTGACGCAAACAGCTTGATCGTCGCACTGATTTTGAACTCAAAGAGCTAGAGGGATGGAGAACGTATTTTACGCGGCTGTATCTATGCTTGATTGATTTTTCAGGGATTGAATATGTTTGAATTGTTTTGTTTTGCAATTAAAATTACCTGCGGATTGTTACTATGATCGCTACAGTTTGGCTGCTTTTTTTGTGTTGCTTTGTTCGCGCTGCGTTATATGCAAGCATTTGTGGAATCTAGGATATGCGCGGCCAACTTTTATTTGTCTCGTCTACCTTGATAGAGGATGAACGTATTTGTGTTCTAAGGTGGATGTGGTTATTGAACCCCGGTCATATGCAGGTATTTGTATTTTACTCCTAGCATGTTTAGCCATGACCAGATCCAAACAATCTAACTACAGAGACCCGACAACAGTGATAACCGAGCATAACAACACACACACACACACACACACACACACACACATATATATATATATATTCAATCCATCCCTATCTCTGGTTCTTCGCTTGAAGTGGCTGCGGCTGCCAAACCCTGTGGGTTGTTCCTGTAATCCGTAGAAAGCATTTTGTTCTTGGCACCGACTGTTCTCGCCGCCCACTGCTACGTCACATATGGTAGCCCTGTACCACACTCCGTCAATGCAGAACCGGACACGTTCAACAGAACCATTCCATCCCAAGCTCCGCTGACAACCCTTCATACCTCACTCCAACACCCTGATTTGTATATCTCATACTTGTCATCTTACATCTTTCGCCTCACCCCTCTCCTCCCTCTCCCATTCGCCTTCTCCTATCGCAACCCTTAAGTCAATGGCGGCCCTACCTCCTGTCAGATCGTTACCCCACTCAATCCAGCCTCTATCGCCAATTTGAGTTGCGTGCACTACCGTTTTCCTTCCACCCGCTCCCCTGCGCTGTCAGCTCGTCGAAAACGAAGCAAATCAAGTTATACCCGGCTCAGGTCATGACCCCTCTCTCATCCTGAGATGGCCGCGGAAATTCTTCATGAGCTGCAGCTGCAGCACACCACCCCGCAAAATGCGCTCCAGAATCAAGACATCGATATCGACGTAACAACGACTGAAAAACCCCTACAACAAAACAACAGTCTCGACCATCCGAAGAAGAGATTCGCACTAGAACGTTGTAACCCCGGTCCTCCAGCCTCGCGCCCGCGAACCCCGCAGGATATCGTTGAGAACCGGGCGGAGGGTAAGCTTGACACATCATCTAGCGAACTGAGCATTGGTGACTTCGAGCTGCTACAAACACTGGGTACAGGTAAGCAAGGGGTGCAGGAGGGTTGCAATATCATGAGCAATTTGTACTTGCTTGTTGGATTGCTTTGGTGTGTCTCTTGTACCTGCATGCTAATTACAAACATTCATATGGAATAGGCACATTTGCTCGAGTATGGCTGGTTCGCCTCTTGAAGCACACAGGTAAATTTAAGAACGGAGCATATGCGCTTAAGGTTCTTCATAAGGCGGATGGTATGTGTATATCTAATTTTGAACGTTGTACGGATTAAGTTCTTCGTTCTTACACTCTCTTCGCAATTCAGTTATAAAACTGAAACAGGTTGAGCATGTCCGGAATGAAATCGAAACCCTAAATGCTGTTGCTGGGCACCCTTTCATCACTACCCTGGTCGCCACATTTACAGACGATCTGAGCTTATATATGTTGGTAGGTTTCTTTTTTGTTTTTGTTTTTAAACAAAAATCAACCTTCTCCTACGTTATTACTTATTGCAGTGAACTAACAACATGTTACCAGCTCGAATATTGCCCAGGAGGAGAGATTTTCACATTCTTGAGACGCGCGCGGAGGTTTGACGTGTCGACTGCCCAATTTTATGCTGCGGAAATCGTCTTAATTCTTGAATTTCTCCACGACGTCCATGGCATCGCGTACCGCGACCTCAAGCCCGAAAACATCCTCCTTGACGCAGATGGCCACCTGAAACTCGTTGATTTCGGATTTGCGAAAGAGATTTGGAGCAGGGAAACCTACACACTCTGCGGTACGCCAGAGTACCTAGCACCAGAAGTCATCCATAACTCCGGCCACGGCCTAGCTGTTGATTGGTGGGCTCTGGGCGTCCTGATATACGAGTTCATAGTCGGACAACCTCCATTCTGGGACCCAAATCCCATGCGCATATACAAACAGATTGTTGATGGGGTCCTACGATTTCCTGCCAACATGCCCCCAGCCGCGCAGGATATTGTATCTCGGCTGTGCCAAACGAACCCATCCGAGCGCCTGGGTCACATTAAGGGGGGATCCGCCAGAGTGAAGCAACATTCCTTCTTCAAGGGAGTCAATTGGGATGATATTTACCACCGACGAATGAAGGGACCCATAGTCCCCCGTGTGGATTCCCCGACCGATGCAGGGAATTTCGAAATTTACCCGGACCCTCCACACCCGTCGGAGCTTGCTCCGTACACGAAGGATATGAGAGACGCGTATGAGCATATGTTCAAGACTTTCTAATTGATATATAACTGGGCAGGTGAGCCTTTTTCCGCCGTTACAGCTTCATACGGTGATATGAATCGCCAGGCAGTAGGGAATCCGTATTCTCCACTATGGCTCCTTCCACCCCCCAACACCCCCCATTATCCGGCGTTATCTATGAGATTCAGCACCCTATACTCTGTTTTCACGTTACTTGTATCCGCAGTACCTCACCGTTTTCCCTTTTTCCGTACTTTGTCTATCATCGATTTTGGGAGTCACACATCAGGGATAGATATATCTAACTATAGCCACCTCTCATTGCTTCTTCCCCGCTTCCCCTCCCCTCCCAGCTTCATAGCTGTCAACACGCCTCATAACGCTGCGCGAGACAAACCGGAATTTTGTATCGCTCATTCTCATCCCGATCATATCCTGGTTGGTTTCCATTGCTCGAATCTAACATCTTCCCGCTCCACTGACCAGGCCAACAACAATATACATACATATATATTATATATTTTTATATGTATTGCTTATCTTCTACGGCGTATCTATCTATCTATCTAAGCCC